CACGCAGGTCCCCTGTGAGGGGGCGGGAAATGGCCGCCGGGGGCACCATCTTGCGCCCCTGGGCAGAGCGTGGGTGGGCAAAGGGCAGGTGGTCTCTGGCCGCTTGTAAGCCGTCAAGTTTTCAGGTAACTTTTTTGGCCTTATCTGCCCGTCCCCAAATTGTTGCAGATAAGAAGAGCGTGGAATCCCGCACGGATCACGTCTTGGAAATAGGTGCCAAGCACCTGAAGATAGTCATCCAGCCAGGAGAAGGGGACCTGAGCAAGAGCAGGTTTACAGGGCAGGCCTCCCCCAGCTACTCCCTCCCTTCCAGCTCTTCCCCACCTCAGCAGGAGCCGCAGGCAGCCAAAGGCCATGGAGACACGGCAAGAGAAGTCATTACCAAAAAGGTACAGCAGAAGGAGCAGTAACAAGCAGTGTCACGACCTGCCCCACTTGTAGCTACACTTCACTATTCCATGCCAAGCAAATGTTGGTTACATTATCGTAGTCAATAAAATGGGGGCAGGGAGTGACTTTTGAGTGCTGGATCACAGGTCATCCACACATGTTAACAGGCAGCATGTTCCCCGGAATGGCTTTGGCACGTACCAACCACTGGTCCCCGAAGCAGCACCCTGGCAGGTTTTGGGGGACAGTATGCACCAAAGACTGCTCCCAAAAGGTGGAAAAATTGTATGAGATTTTAATCCCTTCCTGCTATGCAGACCTCTAACCCTGTTTCAGCATGTTTTGTACCTTCAAACAGCCATAATTACTTCCATCCCTTACCTCAGTGTTAAAATTCTGCTCTGATGGGATGTAGCATAACGAACATTATTTCAGACACTTTGAACTAAAAGTTATGCAGAGAAGAAAAGATCAACTCTGTGTCAGAGACATGGGGCAGGGCCAGGCTACATCTTATAGGATGTGGATGTGGCTCTACCGAGACACTGATACCTGGCCCAGAGGGTTTACTCTGTTTTGCATAGTAGCATAGATGTATTTTTTGAGATATAGCACATGCTAACATATTAGTTATTAGACATCTGTAGCAGCATACTGGAAATTTCCCTATCCTTCTGCCTGTGCGAAGTAGAGATGTGAACATGTTTGTTGTTATTTTTCAGATTCCTGTTTTCTGCCTTAATCCTGAGTTACTAAAGCATGACTTTTTGGAAGTTCTTAAAGAAAGATAGTAGAGAAAACTAGAAAGTCTAGTATAATGAAAGAACAATGTAATATAACTTTGATGTGCTGTTAAAACATGTCTCTGTCACCTGACATTAAGGGGACAGACAGGTTCTTTTGGGGATCCTTGGCAGAATGATGATGGCACTAAGTTGGAGTTACAATTAAAGCTTTGGGTTTTTTTAACAGAATTTTATGATTAGCATAGCATAGAATTAATAGAATAGCACAGGATTTCTACAAATGGAATCAGTGTAGAACAATTTTCTAAGTAGCATAGCACAGAATTTTATAGCACAGCTTAACTTACGGTTTCTAATCACCTGGACGCTCTGTAGATCGGGTCAAATCTTAATACTTGGCTTGCATATCAATATAATAATCATAATCTAGGCTCGAAAAACACATACAAGAAGACGAGTCGTTCACTCAGTCCTCAGAGGAAGCAGAGGACAGTGGAGGTGTCCCTGGCCACTGAGGGATCACAGGTCTCGCTGTCCAGCAGCAGTTGCAGTCCAGGCTCCCACTTAGGACTTGTAACCGCTTGATTTTAGGACTTGTAACCGCTTGATTTTAGGACTTGTAACCACTTGATTTTATGTACAGTGCTCTGTGTGCTGTTACACTTCCCTGTTCTGTGATGGGGTCATTGCCACCTGGTTGGCAGGGTGCCTGGGACCTTCAAGGCCGGTAGGGAGGGGAGTAGTCGGCCTGGTGCCCGGGAACCTTGAGGATGATAGGGAGGGGAAGAAGAAATCTGTTTGCTTTGTCTACTTGGTGCGCAGGACCTTCAGGGCCTGATAACGAGGGGAAAAGGGACTAATACGTGACCAGCTCGGTCAGAGGGAATGGCCATTTGCTTTGTGAAATGGCGTTAGTTATGCTACCCATATTACTAGAGGTCATGAGCAGAGGGTGCTGGTCACAGTCTCAAATGAAGTAGCAAAGTTATTGTCTTTGTTTCTGCAGTGCTGCTGACATTAACAAATCTCATTTTTGCTGCTGACTTAGAAGCGGATTGCTTTACTTATGTGTGTGTAATGTCAGTACACATGACATAAAAGAAACACTGTGTGCAAATGTGTCTATAGTAATCTGGCCCTACTGAGGTGTACAGTGCTTTTCCTTACTGAAAATGTAGAAGCAGCAAGCAGAGAACCCTTAGAAAAAACAACTATTGATATCTTCTTGTATTCTCTTTAGATATTTCTTACAGTATCTGCAACTTTGAATACCGGTATGTTCACTGAACAGCAAAGGGAGAAAATTACCATTATATGTCCAAATTTAAAAAGAGAAGGAAATCTTGATACTGATGGCTCTGAGAAATTGACAGGAGATTTTACAGATATTGAAAAAGCTTATCACTACTTTAAGGATATCCTTGCAGGCAATGACCCAAACCAGGATTTTTCACAGTCTGAAAGTAAGAATGGTTTGAAAGATGAAAATTCTCCGAATACTGAAGAAATGAATGAGCTTACAGTTCTGTCAGCTCTCTATGAATATTTCAGTCATACCTGCAAAGAACAAATCAAAGTACTGCGTGAACGTTTTGGAGTGTGTATAAGAAGTAAAGATCTTCACAATGGAAACACATCAGTATGCTTCACTTCTGATAGAAGTCCTGCATCAATACAAGAAGCTAATGAGTTTTTTATCAGAACTTTTCAGAAAAGTGTAGAAGATCTGAAACAGGAAAAAATTCCCGTAACAAACAGTTACACATTAAATGAGGCAATAATGAAATTAAATGCTAGGTTTAGTAATCTTCTTGCCAAAGAGGAAGGGAATCAATTGCTACTCCGTGGTCCAGCGAGAGAGATTTTAGCTGCCAAAAAATTTCTAGCAGAGAAAGGTGAGAACAGCCAAGCTGAAAAGAATATGAAAATATCATCTGAACTGTACGAATACAGGAATGGAATTGAAGTTGATGCTTCTGTGTTTAAATTGTTGGAAACAATATTAAGCAAAGAAATTGAAGATATTAAAGACAAATTTGATACGGTAATAGAAAAGAAAGATAGTTCACATGGCCAGAAGTTGCTCATAGTATTTAGGCCCAGGATCAAAACTTCTGATATGTCTTCACATGCTACAGAAAGTTTCATCAATGCATTTCAGAATGCCTCTGCAATGTTAGGAGAAAAACTCATCAGCTCAAAGCTTTCAGAAGATCAGAAGAAAAGATTAAATATGCTACTTAATGGAAAACAATTGGAAGATCTGCATGTAAAACTGAAGAAGAAGGAAGACAAATTCATCTTAAGTGGTTTACCAGACCATCTTTATGCTGCTGAAAAGCACATTATGAAGCTTTTAAACATTGAAGACTCGACACAAATTAGAAATAGGACACCACTGTCCTCTGATCTCAGCTATCAAGAGGCTACAGGAGCATCTGAGAAGAAACACAGTGAATTTTTCCTCCAAACAATGCAAAAGAGCAGTCTTTCTTCCAAAGGACAGTCTAAGGCAAAGACAGAAGACAACGACAAAGATGTGTGTCCAATTTGCATGGAGAGAATTCATAATAAGGAAATACTGAGCAAGTGCAATCATGCGTTTTGCAAAAGTTGCATTGACCAGGCCATGACTTATAAGCAAGTTTGTCCTGTTTGTAATACCGTCTATGGACTCATGAAAGGAGACCAACCAGAGGGAACAATGTCAACTAGATTGCTGCCTTTCTCTCTCTCTGGTTATCCCGGCTGTGGTACTATTGAGATTACATATGCTATGCACAGCGGTATTCAAACTGTAAGTATATTTGAAGATTCATAAAAGATATTTTTGCTACAACAAAACCAATATTGAATATAAAATTAATTATTTTTCTGTCATTTTAATGCATGTCCAGGAGAGGCATTTCTTTGTTCTGTACAAACCTGCAAGTATTGAATTCACTATTTTTGGGTGCGATTAAGTAATATAGTAGGAATTACATAGTCAAAAGGTAGCCCTCCATTTTAAATGCACCAGGAGAGAGCTGCCTGTCTTTAATTTGTACATTGGGAATAACTGAACTGAAATCTGTGGATTGATAGCATGTAAACAAAATTTTGCGAGTATAATGAGGATTCTCCTAGCTGCTGACACCAGTGGACAAAAATGAATAGCGGGCTGGCTTGTAAGCTTTCCAGGTGAGAAATCAGCTTACACTATGGGCTTAGAGTCATGACTAGGACTGAAAATGGGATAAATGAAAAAGCCAGGGCTGGGGTGATGTGCATTTGAGAGAGCAAAGAGGAAAAAACAAATTTAACAGTGGATGCATGAGTGATGACAAGAAAATGTGAATGAAACTTATATGAAAGAAATTGTCTAATGAGAAAAAAAAACCTCAAAATCAGTCATGCTATGTCTGTCTGAATCAAAGACAGGATAAAAAGTATTGCAAAAGCTGGGATGTGCAATTTTCACACTTTCAAAGCATTTATGATACGCAGCGTGGTTTTTGTTTTGTTTTTCTGCAAAACAGAGCAACCATCCAAACCCAGGGAGACCTTATCATGCAACTTCTCGAACTGCGTATTTACCGGACAATAAGGAAGGGCGAGAAATTCTGCAGCTCCTCGCAAAAGCCTTTGAGCAAAAATTGATTTTCACAGTGGGGCAGTCACGTACTACTGGTGCACAAGATGTTATCACATGGAATGATATTCATCACAAAACTTCCCTGACTGGAGGATCTACCAAGTAAGTAGTCTTCTCTTTATGAAACTTTATTGCTACTCAGATGTGGCAGGAAGGTTACCCCGAATATTTTCCACATTAGAGCTTTCAGATTTTTTATAGCGCTGCAAGCCATTGGCAAATCTGAAGGATCTGGCCTGGTTTGTCACTAACAAAGTGATTGTGGAATGCTCTGTGGATCCAGACTTGAATCACCTTCACCAATTTGGACAGTCAGAACAAGGATGAGCTTAGTCTCCTGTTGCCCCTCATTCACCAGTGAGTTGTGTAAAGTACCTACCTAGTTAATAACTACTCTTATGGGAAAGTACTTCTAGTACAGGACAGGGCAGCAAGCTCCTGAGAGCAGCTAAGGTTGGACTCCTGATCTCAGCCTCTTTTGTTACCTGCTGTTTTGCACCAGGAGGTGCTGGTCCATTATGATCCCAGTAAAGACAGCACTCAGACTCTGTAAAATGTGATTTGAAATTCTACTTATTAGAGCTAACAGCGAGAAGAAAGAGATTGTAGTATAGTTACGGTTATGTCCTTTTAGATACTAGGAACCCCAAGTTGTGCAGCATTCAGTGGGCCTCCGAGGAGAGCACAGGATGCCATGCTGTCCCCATCCGTAGAAAGGGTTACCCCATTTTGGTTGTTCGAGCTATTACAGGGGTTTTTTTAATAGAAGACAACTCTATTCAGCTTTTCTTGAGGACTTGCTGTGCTTCTAGATAAAAGCAAGGACACGCAGGTGGTGTAATCACCAGTACCGAGTGGGAGCTGCCCGCAGCACCTCTCAGAGTGAGCTGGCTGAGTCTGTCGTGTGGCCAGGGGACATGCAGAGCACAACGCGGGGCTGCAGGCCACACCGCCTGTGCGGCACAGCGTGCAACAGGCCTGGGCCTGCCCAGGTTAACTGTTACGCAGATCGCTAATTCCTCAGCGTATAATCATCTTCCGGTCAGGATCACTACGTCCTTGATGGACATACAACTGACCTTTCTTAAAGATACGATTAACTGCAGATTATATCAGTAAACTGTTTGGCTCCTGGAAAAAATCTTACAGAGACAAGAGGGAGGCTTGAAACAGTCCTTTCAAGCTTGTTGCAATCTCTCAGGGGCAGGTGTCTTCCTGCAAGATTGGTGTCTAGGTCCTCCTTCATGGGCTAGGATCATAAAAGAGCAAAAAGTACCAGTTTTACTTTATCCCCCACTCTGCCCAAATGCTCTCCCTAGTTATCGCTTGCTTCATACACTTTTGGTGATGCGCTGCTTAAAATCCAAAGGTGCCGTTATATTCGTGTTTTGAATGCTCACTTGGATATGCCTCAGGTCTGATTTTGAGAAAGATGCATACCCAAGCGCCCTGTCATTGTCAAGTGAGACAGCAGGCAGCTTTGAAAATCAAGTTCTTAGTGTCAGTTTGGACAACCACATCCAGCAGCTCCTTTTCATAAGTTTTTAGCTTTATCCTGTCTGTACCACCTCTCTGACCTGTAAAATAGGGTCTGTTGTCTCTATAGAGTAAGAATTGCATACAATGTGTAAAGTGTTTTAAGAGATTTCCCTGAGAAGGTTCTGTAGAACTGTCAAGTGCTTCATTGCAGAAGTAGCCTGAACAATTCTTTTTTTCTTCTCATAGTTTTGGTTACCCTGATCATGATTATCTGCAGCGGGTTCGACTGGAATTGAAAGCAAAAGGAATTGAATGAAGAAATTTTTTAACCATCGGCTCTGAAGTGTAATAACTGAACCTGTAGCAATTAATTTACTATTCGAGCACTAAGAGGAAAGAAGTTACTTTGTTCAACTGCAGTACTTGTATTTCGCAGTCAGCTAAGAAAAGTAATCTTTTCTCATTGAATGACATATGTTCTTTTTACACATCATTTACTTCCTTGATTAATGCTTCCCTATATGGGTCCCATGAGTGCAGCATCAGTACTTGTTGCACTTGTTGAATATCCAATTGTGTATCTTGTTTTACCAGTGAATCTGATCTGGACTTTTTCCCACAAGTCTTCAGTCTGACCACCAAAATTGATAGATCCACTACTAGCTTTTATTCAATCACTTACTTTAGCTTTGTGTTCTTACATTTGTCATTATGGATAGCATCATGTAACCCATCTGCTGGCAAATTTTTATGCAGCTTTTATACCATCAGCTGTGATCAGGCTATGATCTTTTGCTTCTTTTCCTTTTCAGGGTAGAAATGGCATTAGTGGTTCGGGTTTTAAACATGAAATTAGCATGGATAATGTATGAGGGGGTACGTGGATGCTGCTGTATCTCTAACCCTGCAGAAGCACTCAGTGCTCAGAGCCGCGTTGGAGCAAATGGAAAATAAGAGTGCTTGTGGCTGTCTCTGATAATGGTGTCCTGGTTCTGTCCCTTCCATCGTGTTTAAGCTTAAATACAACTTTTAAGTCAGCTTTGCAACTATAAAACTATATTCTCCCCATTCCTTCCAATATATGATTTACATTGTACCATAAAGATACTTTGCTGCTACTCTGCACTGCCTAAATAGCCTGCTCATTACCTGTGTTGTGGTGTTGAAACAAATAGCTTTCACTTAAATGCAGCCATAATTTTTAGTGAGTTAAACCATTTCTGTTAGGCTACTGAATATAACTAATAAATAAAATATAAAAATACCATCTGCTCAGTTCTGCATTCTTCTGTATAGGTTTTTCCTCCTGTTTTAGATATGTATAGTTGTATATTTTTTTTTATTTAGGAGCTTCTCAGCAACACCGTGATTTGGAGTGATTTGGACCCCATACCACCTCTTTTTTTTTTATTTTTTAGGGTTCCCACATTGTGAATAGGCAATACTACTTTACTATCTTGACTTTCAGATTTCTTACTATTGGGCACTGTTTGGTTTCCATGTGGGTTAGGTTGACTTTTCCGACTGTGATTTTGTTTTTCTGTATTTGTTTTCACATTTTACACTATTTCAAGTTTCCTCCCTTTTCAGTGCAGTCAGATACCAACACTCCAGTTGTTTCTAAATGACCATGCTGTTCTGCACACTGAAGCTGTGAAGATCAAATCTCCCTAAATTCTTTTGGTCTCTCGTTTCACTTTCTGTCCCAATAAGCCAGTTCACCGATGCCAGACCCCTATCTGACAATTCGCCGGCTCCCATTTTATCTGTGGCAGGTTTTGCAGGCTGGGTTTTGCAGCAGAGTCCTATTGACTGTCACTGAAGGCTCCCAAGCCTTTATCCTACAACCAGCCGTACAGCCCTTTACTTTCTAATTAAAGCTGTACGGTTTAGGAATAAATCTGCCTGATCTGCAATCAAAGTATTAAGTATTATAAATCAGGTATTTTGCCTGGGTTACAGCAAGAGAGGAGAGCATGCACCTGGGCTAACTGTTGAGAGCACAGTGCATTAGGAAACAAAAAATATTAATCAATTATGCCCACCGAGAAAAAAAGGCATCTGCGTGGGTCTGCTCAGCAGTGTGTTTGAGGACACCTCTTTAGCCGACATCTGCCCGTGCTTATCATATTTAATGAGATTCGGTTATTACCCATTTCCTCAGTGAACTTTCAGCGAAGTTAGGGGGAAAAATGTTTCATTTTTCTGCACATGAGTAAAATACGCAGCAAGAATTAGCTGAAAACTGTAACCTTGGCAAGGGGAGGCCCTGAGCACTCAGTTGAAAACGTCTCAGCTAGCTGACACTTTGGTCTGAGGAAAACAGCCTTTCGTTGCAGTCGTGCACAGTTGTACGAGTATTTCTGATGGAGGATGATGGAACCGGGTAATTCTACTTTGCGTCACGACTCGATTTGAAAGCGTAACGCAGGCAGAGCGAGGTCCCTGTTATCCAGCGCCTAATCGTGATAAGCTCAGGCATCGAAAAGAGCTGTGTTTGTAAAACCGGCTTCCCGCACGGCTCTGTGGAAGTACAACGCTTCGTTCGCGATCTCCCGAGCAAGGCGGCTCAGGGAAGCACCCGCGGCGCTTTCCGAGGGCGGGGGAGGCCCCGTCCTGCGCCCCGTCAGGCGGCGCGGAGGGGAGCGGGGCCTC